GAACACTTTTTTCAAAATTTTTATACTGTTGTTTTCTTTTATTAGGGTTGCTATTTTCAGCTACGAAATTTGATACAAGTCAAGGAAAAGACGACGATAAGTCATAAAGTTTTCACGAAAATAAAAAGACTTGATATGTAATTTATTCACGAACTTTATCAGACAATGTATTAAAAAACTTATTATTTACGCTAGACAAATTTGGTTAAATTTTTTCATTGAATTTAGTTTTTACGAAGGTTTATGCAAAGGCAATGACTTTATTCCCCAATACTTAGACAAGAAAATAAATTGCTGTTTTAATTATTAAATATATTATCTAAGATTTTAAACATAACAAAATTTTAATGTGAAAAAAGTTCTTTCTCGACTTATTCTAAACTGATTATACTGAGTCAATGCTCGCCTTTTATTACGTTAAAATTATTCAATTGCATAATTTTGTAATTACGAAAGAAGTTAAAAAAATAATTGCATTGCTTCTGTTGTCATTGTTACGAAAACAGTTCCTTCGGGACATTATTATATATTAACACTCGTTTACAATGTCAATTAATGATTGCAAATAAGCAACTCAATCATTTGACAATAAAATTTTCTTTCATTAAAAAAAAACAAACAACATATTTTACTAATAAATAGCAATTGTTTTCGTGTTTTCTTGCGTATCAATACATTCAAACATTAAAATCAATACATTTAAGTATTTAAATGTATTTACGAAACATTTAAAAATTGTTTATAGTTCTATCGTGAATATTAAAGTATTACTGACTGATGAAAGTCATAAACAAATTTTACATTAAAAGGTCCTTTTATTTTCTTTAAACATAATTCTTTTTCTTTTTGATTTGATTTTTCTTATTGATTTGATTTTTCATAGCTTAAATAACTACCACCCGAAAAAAATAAATAAATAAAATATAGGTAAATTTTTTTTTAATAATATACATTCATTTTTTAATTTTAAAGCACAAACAGATTTCTGTTATTTACTTTAAGATTGCTTGCATTTTTGCGGTATTTTGTTTTGGCGCGAATTCTTAAAACGCATAATAATAAAACGTGGTCAGTTAGTCAGAAAAATTTATTCTATGCGTGGACAAACAAGGCGTGCAACCGCACGCCTTTCCTGGGAAAGCCTGATATATATATATATATATATATATATATATATATATATATATATATATTATATATATATATATATATATATGTATATATATATATAGATATATATATATATATATATATATATATATATATATATATATATATATATATATATATATATATATATATATATATATATATATATATATATATATATATATATATATATATATATATATATATATATATATATATATATATATATATATATATATATATATATATATATATATATATATATATATATATATATATATATATATATATATATATATATATAGATTCATCATTTCTTTCAAGAATATATGATTAAAAAATTTTAACCTTGAAAAAAAGTCACCCTCAAAACTGATTTTAATTTTACACATAGCCTGCCTTATCCAAATGCTGAGCTTTGTAACATTTGTTAATATAATAATTCAATATAATTAGAAATAATGCAATTTCATGTTCTATAATGACAAATAACCTACAAGTAAATAAAGTCTGTTTGGAGGGTATCATTTTAACATTTAAATTGTTTGTAGCTTTCTATTTACTGATTATAAATGTTACAAGATTTTGTTATGTACGTTACTCTTAATTCCTATAACAATTTTTTATCTAATAAATTTCATATTTATTAGCAATCTAATATTTAGATTCCGATAACCTGTTTCTTCTGGAACCAACACACCATTTAACTGATTGTTTACTATCTGGAGAATTACAACTTTGGAACTGCAATATCTAAAAACACGCCTCCTTCAGAGGAGAATAAGAAGATTTGGTCTTCAAATCTAATGCAATTTCAAAAGTGCAAAAAGTCAAGAAAGTATTCTACCATTGACAGATCAGATGCAAAGAATTCCAATGAAGCAGAATATCTTTGACAGATTTAAAACTCTGGCTTCTGATGTAAAATGTAGAAAAGAGCGAATTATAATGATAGCAGATGAAATGAAAGGCCTATGGAATAATTTGAATCTGCTAATTCAACAAAGTAGATCTACGGTTGCACGAGAAGTTGAGAATGTAATAAATACTTATGAAAAGCTCGAAGACCTGGAAACAATGTTTTTAGTAAATTGTTTAATGTAACAGACGAGAAAAGAGAATGGTTGTGCAGAAAAGACAGGGAGTTTTATGAACTGCAGGTTTCAACAAAAGGGAAAGTAGGATATTGCACCACAAAAGAAGACACACAGGGGATACATCCAAGAAAAGTGAAGATGCTTTACAGAAGAGTATCAGTCATACAAGATTCTATTGAAGAAAGTAGTAAAGAAGATTCGGAAACAGTTACAGAAACAGAAAAATCTATGAGTGAAGAACAAAGTTATAGTAGCAATAAAGATTATGCGAAACCTTTTTCCAGTAAAAGGCAAATAACTGATTCTGTGGTACGTTTGGTAACTGAAACAAAACTGAGTACTAGAAAGGCCCACAAAGAATGTGAAACTTTGTCCAAAAGCGAAGTTTCCATACCTATTCCAACTCAGAGTGGCATCTGCAAAGCAATAATAAAAGAAGGAGAAAAGCTAAAAAGAAATTTCAAGGAAAATTTTAAAAATAAACACTGGTGTTTACTCTTTGATGGTAAGAATATACAAAAGGAATATCAGGTAGTTATTTTGAAAAATGAAACAAGAGAAGTCAGACTTGCTGTCCTTCAATCGGCAAATGGAAAAGGTGAGACAATGTTCAATGGAATAAAAACTGTGCTTGACGAATATGAACTATGGCCCTCAATAAAAATGATAGTTTCTGATACAACTGCAGCTAATACTGGAAAAAATCTGGGAGCTGTCACACTGTTGCAGAAGCACTTTGAAGATATTTTATTAGAAAAACCTGTGTTTATTGGTTGTCAACATCATATTCTGGGTACGGTATTGAAACACGTCATGAATGATCATTTTGGGGGAATAACGAATTCACCAAACATCTGTTATTCCTTTATTTTACAAATAAAAGGACACTATGAACAGTTAAAGAAATCATTTGATAATACAGGTAAAGAACAGGAGAAAGTAGAACAGGATTGCTGGCAAGATGACATGTCCTTTCTTGATCACTTCAAAAAAGGACATGTCATCATGTCCTTTCTTTAAGTATCATGCTACAGGTATTTCAAAAGTACAGGAAGTTTCCCAAAAGTGCATTTCCGATCAATTCCATCTATCAGTAATGCAAGATGGAACTCAAGAGCCATTCATATTTTGCTTAGTTTCATTCTGATGCCAGAGTTTAGACAAAAGCAAAAGTGGCATGTGATTTCATCTGTGGTTCATGGTCAAAAGTCTGGTTCTCTTCTCAGTTCTTCAATCTTGCCGACTTTGATAATTTGTCAGAAGCTTGTAAAGAGTATCCTAAGGCTTTGCGCTCATTAAGGAAGTTTTGGTCAGTGGAGCCTACGCCTATAGCAACCCAGCAGTTTAAATATCTGTGTAGAGCGTGCTATTAAAGTAATGCAAGACCTGCTTCCACTCTGCAGATCGAAATTTCTTTAAAGTAATAAACATTAGAAAAATACTGGTATATTTATTTATTGGTGATGTATTGTAAAATGTAAAATTTTATTGATGCAAATTTTAAATGATGCAACTTTTATGTGAATTTACTTACTATATATATCTTAGACACATCATTTTCTCATTTGGAGGGTGAACTTTTTTTAAGCAAAAAGAAAAATACTTATTCGCTATTTGTACACAAAACCTCCACTTATTATCATATGGGCATATAGGGTTATGAAATTGTCATATCCCTAATATATATATATATATATATATATATATATATATATATATATATATATATATATATATATATATATATATATATATATATATATATATATATATATATATATATATATATATATTTACATACACACACATAATACTCAATCCATATGTAAGGGTGAATTTTTCTAATATCATTTTTGCGTCTTTAATGTAAAAAAGTGTGCTTTAATTTTTCAGTAAAAGAAAAAAAGTAAAAAAATAAAAAAAATGAAGAATAATGAGGAAAAACATTGCTGCCCTGTGCTAAGCTGTCAATGTAGCAGCAATCCTTTGCGGGTCAGGCTATTTGATGTATGTACTAAAGTCCCTGCAACTTCCTGTTTTTTATGGCATCATCCGTGTGAATCTAATGCTGGTTTTATATATGTATATATATATATATATATATATATATATATATATATATACATATATATATATATATATATATATATATATATATATATATATATATATATATATATATATATTTATATATATATTTATATATGTATATATGTATGTATATATATATATTAGGGTACTTGCTTTTGAGGAAATTTTTGAATTTCAATAAATGACCCCTTCAAATGTGGCACATTGGTGATAAAAATAACTTTGGAAAAAAATTAGCCTGATTGGACCACTCTTGAGCCTCCTCCAAAGCCCATTTATTAAAAAAAAAGGTCAAAAAAACGCCAAAAACGACTATGTTTGAAGGGCTAGGGGGAGGTGATAATATAAATAATTTTAACTGGTTTTTTTTTCATAAGACAGGTATTGATCTATATTTTCAAATAAAAAGGGTAGTTAAGGTAGATTATGACTATTTTTTCTGTTTTATTGTGTTAAAAAGTGTTGAAAAAGCGCAAAAAAAAGAATTATTTTGCCGCGAATTTTAAGAATGAATAAACGCTTTGTTTTACACTTTAATTTTGTTTTTTATCATTTATTTTATTTTCTCTATTATATTTGTGGGACCATAACAATTTTACTTGTTTAGATTATAATAAATAAAATAAAATACTTGTTACCCTATCGATGTTTTATTGCAGATATTGAGAGAAACTTATGAATTTGCAGTTTTCTTGAATTTACAGGTATGTTTGAACTAGTTGTTTTTCTTACTAATTTTTTTTCAGTATTTATTTTTGAAAGTACTATTAATTAACTAATAATTTTTTATGACTTATGGTGTTTTAGGTTTTATAATGAACATTAAAGAAATTAAAAAAAGAGATGAAGAAATAGAGCTTAGGTCAAGAAAAAAAGTTTTTTTTCTTATTGGAGAAGCTAATCCAGCTATATCAGGTGATATTATATAATTAATCAGGCGATATTAAGTAATCATGTTGATTGATGGTTATATACTCTTTATTTTGCATTCAAACATTACTTTTTATGAATAATTTAATGCACACATGTGTACTTTATAAAAAAAGATAAAACTATGGTTTATATTAACATCTTTTCTTAAAAAAATAAGTACTTTTAAAATAAGTAATCAAGTATTGAAGTATGTATATTATTAACATAAATAAATACTTTTTTTATATTATTAAGGTAAACAACTTCCAACTGGAATGGAGATACTGAAAAACTTTTACCACATCAAATCAACATTGGAAACAAATGCGAAAAAGTTATCAATACTATATTGCATGCCTAATAAAATGAAAGAGAGTCTGTGTAAAGATGGAAAATGCAAGTGCATATTATCTTTGATTAAAACTTCTTGGAATAAAGCTGGATTTCCAATAGTTTCTGACAAAACCCTTAGAAAGCATCTAGGTAATCTAGAAAAAGAATACTACAGTTTAAAAAAGCATGAAAAGAGAGGATCGCCTACAGATTTAAAAAAACAAAATAATTTTATACAGAAGATAAAGAAAGTGTTCTGGATTGGTACACCGAATCTTAGACATGCCATAATGATTGACAAGAAAAGAATTGATAAAGACAAAGTTGAAGATTTGAAGTTTTTAGATGACCAAGAAAGTAATAGAAAGTTTTTTCTCGGAACCGAGGATAAAAAATATAGTCAAATGTCTAGAGAGAGTATTCGAAAGAAAACATTCAAAAGAAAACACAGCACTCTAGAAGTTACATCAAATTTGGATCAGGAACCAAATTTTTATGAAAATGATACAGAAATGTTGAATAATTTAGACTTTGAACCTGGAAACTGGACAAGAAGAAAAGAAAAAGAAAAACCGATTACATGCATAATTCCTAAAAATATTTACAGTGGTAGTGTTGCTCTTACAGCATCAATCAATGATATATCTCCTGCAGTTCTCCAGAAAGTTGTCACTTTTGTTGTTCATAAGGCTGGCGTGGATGTAGGTAAACTACACTGCAGCATTTCAACTGCTTCCTCACAAATGAAAAAGGTAAACCTAATAATAAGTAAACAACCCGGAAATGACATTAAAGTTGCTTTAAAAGCCTCCAAATATAGCCTATCATTCATTTTGATGGTAAAACCTTATTTGAGTTAAACAAAGGCAAGCAGATTAGCCGTTCTTTTAAACATCGATGGAGAGGTTTATCTTCTTGGAGTACCTTCTCTATCTTCTTCCTCAGGGGATGATCAGTATAAAGGCATAATGAATCTCCTTAAAGAATATGAAACCGAAGGAAATTATGGAGGGCTTTGCTTTGATACCCTTTTTAGTTCCAGTAATACTGGAACTAAAAAGGGTTCTCTTTTTAGAATAGCAAACAATCTAGATATCTTTCCATTATTTCTTGCTTGCAGACACCACATATCAGAGCTGAAGATTGTTCACTTTTGTAATGTTGTGATACAAAGAAAGACATCTGGACTAGATAATCTTTTATTTAAAAAACTGAAAGACATATTTGAAACTCCTGATTTTCATTATGATACAAATGATGTTACACAATTTTTTTGGGAAAAGACAAAAGGAACTATCATCGAATGTGCTGCAGTTGAGTCTCTTTATTTTTGCAAAGAATATATTAAAAATGAAAACACTTTAAGAGACGATAGAAAAGAACTAGCTGAGCTAGTTGTTGCTTATTTGTCTCCTGGTGGTGTAAAAATTAGAAAACCAGGAGCTGTCCACCATGCAAGGTTCCTTGGCAAAGCCATTTATTATCTAAAATTGCAATTGCTTTGTAATCAAATTAAATTTGTTCAAGAAGATAAACTACTTTTAGAAGAAATTAATATCATGGCGGAATTCATAGCATGCTTTTATGCAAAATGGTATTTGCAATCTGACAAAGCTATCAAAGCACCATATCTAAATATTTTATCAATACACAAAATGCATCTATACAAAGATGTTTGTGCAAAACCAGACGCAATTGAAGCAGTATTGAAATCATTTTACAAACATTCCTGGTATCTAGATTCTACAATTGCACCTCTTTCTTTGTTGGATAAAGACGTTTCTAATGAAGAAAAAAGTAAGATTGCTTCAGCTATGCTTCAATATGACATGCCGAACTCTGATTATTAAAATTGACAACAAATTCTGATTATTTAAAATCGACAGCAAATCACTCATTGACGTGGAAAACAAGATTAAGGTTGAAACGAGAGTTTACAATGATCCCCCAAGTTTATCATTATTAGTTGATCAGTTCTCCTACTTGATGTTTGATAGAATTGGGTTGGATAAACAAAGGATTAGAGATTGGCTTACCCTCCCGCCTCAGTATTGGTATACACAATCAAGCTTTAGAATCTTCAAAGCTTTTGCTAAATCTCTAGTTGTTGTAAATGATCCGGCTGAAAGAGCAGTAGGAATGATGCAACAATTTGTGCACAGATACAATGAAGAAGAAGAAATTCAGAACAGACTGCTTACTGTTGATAAAACTAGATTGGCTACAAAAAAGCCGGGGGGAAATCTTCAAACTTGTCTAAAAAGAGATTGATTGACTCACTTTCTATAATGGAAAAAATGATTGAAAAATAAAAATTGACAACCAAATTTTTTAAACAAACTTTAATATTGTTTTAAATAATTATTAATTAATTAAAGATTTATAACACACTTTTAATTGTATTATTTGATTATACCTATTCGCGACAAAATAATTCTTTTTTTTGCGCTTTTTTAACACTTTTTAACACAATAAAACAGAAAAAATAGTCATAATCTGTCTTAACTACCCTTTTTATTAGAAAATATAGATCAATACCTGTATTATGAAAAAAAATCAGTTAAAATTATTTATATTATCACCTCCCCTTAGCCCTTCAAACAGTCGTTTTTGGCGTTTTTTTGACCTTTTTTTTTTAATTAATGGGCTTTGGGGGAGGCTCAAGAGTGGTCCAATCAGGCTAATTTTTTTCCAAAGTTATTTTTATCACCAATGTCCCACATTTGAAGGGGTCGTTTATTGAAATTCAAAAATTTCCTCAAAAGCAAGTACCCTAATATATATATATATATATATATATATATATATATATATATATATATATATATATATATATATATATATATATATATATATATATATATATATATATATATGTATATATATATATATATATATATATATATATATATATATATATATATATAATATATAATATATACATATATATTTATATATATATGTATGTATATATATATATATATATACATATATATATATATATATATATATATATATATATATATATATATATATATATATATATATATATATATATATATATGTATATATGTATACATATATATATATATAATATATACATATATATATATATTTATATATATATATATATGTATATATATATATATATATATATATATATATATATATATATATATATATATACACACACACACACACAACTTAAATTTAATTACTTTATTTTATAGGTGTACACATCTGATGAAAAGCAAGCTACTCATCATTTCATTCTTAGTACTCCAACATCAGCATCAAATATTGGTTTGGCGATCGGGTATGTTTTTATACTGCTTCCATCAAACTCAAGGTCAAAGGTCTCTGCAAAGAATAATTATCTTTGTATTTGATGTGCAGTTTATGTGTATTTACCACTTGAATGTAACAAAATACTTGAATGTATGTAAAGAGATTATGGTAGTAAATTGCTATAAAGTTAAAACTTTGATTTTAAGGTTTTTACTGTTTCTGAAAAGATAAAATTTTTAGTCATTTATTGAATATTTTAATGCTGTAAACAAGAATTCATTTTACTTTTGAATAAAAGAGACATTTTTGGAATGTTAATACTTAACACATTTGTTTCAGCTGTTTTTATGACGCTGCCCCATTGCGTTTTATGTATTTTAGTGATAGTTTTTTTTTTTTGCTTGATGCTTAGGTTAAAAAAAGATATATAAAAAGTGTTTGTTAAGTGTTTGTTAATAAAAAACTCAAAAACCTTGCTTATGATAGCAAGAAGACTAATGGGACAGTAGTTAAACAAGTCAGATTACTCTCCAGAATTTTTGAAAATAGAAATAACAGATGCAGATGCACTTATCAGAGTCTTGTTTTCCAGCAGGCTGGAAAACAAGACTTTGATAAACAAATTTACACCAAATATTGATCAATAATTTTGAAAGAATAAACAACAGCTCCGGAGAACACTTCTGCAAAACTATAACAGGTATATTGTTTGGACCACAAGCTGTAGAAGAGTCTAAGCAGGAAATCACTTAAAATACAGAAGCTGGAGTGATAAGAATGTCAGGCAATGGATTAACCTGTTTGTTGGCTGTATTTGGTAGAACGCACTTGTTTTTTTTAAGTATATAATACTTTTAAGAAATGATAATCCAATAAATTGATGAGATGTGCTCTGTATTTTTATGTTTATTTATACTCTAGCTATAATTTATTAGTTTAAATAAAAAAAAAATTGTATGGATATTATGACTGAGGTAGAGGGTGATGAGAAAATTAATGGAGCAATTAATTCCTTTCAATTTTTTGAAATAAATTTTAAATGCACTTTAATAAGAAAATGCGTGACACTAGTTTATTGAGAGATTTTTTATTGAAGTCTTTTGCTTTTTTATCACTCAACAGCCTGTTAATGTTAGTATATTTCATTTGGATCCCTGTTCTTATTTTATTTTGAATAAAAACCGCAACTGCGATTTGATTCAAAATCCAGCAATTTTCAACCGATCCAACTTTGTCAAAATATAATATTTTCATCAGAAAAAAAGCTGTTTTGTCGAAAACAAAATGTCATTGGAATGCATGGAATGCATAAAATGAAAATAATTAATAGAGAAATTGGCAGACGCCTAAATATTTCTTAATTCAGCATTCGTACAACAATAACAAATTATTTATCAACTGGTAGTGTCAATGATAAATCTTGTACTAGGCGTCTGAAAAAACTGACAGCACCCGATGAAAGCATGCTTTACACGCTAAGCAGACATAACCCAAAAGCTGGAGTATCAACTTAAAGTGCAGAAATCAATAGTTTGCTTGTAGACAAAACAGTTAATCGAATGACAATAAGTATTATGCAAGAAAGAATTAAACTGGTTTTATGGTGTAAGAAAGCCTTTGTTGACGTTCCAATCAAAAACCAATCGCCAAAGATGAAAAAAATGGTGCAAAGAGAATTTAAATTATTCAGTAGAACAATGGAAAATGATTATCTTTAGTGATGAATCAAATTTCAAAATTATTAACATAAAAAACAAGAGATCTGTTCGTCGCAAAAATACAAAAATAATAATTGAAGCAACACCTATTATTCCACATTCAAAAAAGTGGTGGTTCTGTCGGTATATGGGGATGTATATCAGGCTCAGGTGTTGGCTGTCATAAAATATATGAAGGAAAATTAAACCAGTATGAATATCGTGACATTTTGGAAAATGTGCTTATCCCTAGTCGTAATTTGTTCCAGGCTGATCAAACTATTTATTTCAACAAGACAATGCTCCATGCCAGACAACACATTCAATCGCTGGTTATTTCCTTAAAAGTAATATTCAACTTATGCCTTGGCCAGCATGATCACCACACTTAAACCTGATTGAAAACTTATGGAGCTGGATGGATTATCAACTAACAAAAAAGCAATTAACTAATCACAAAATACTCAAACAAGAACCAAACAGTGGCTTGAAATACCAATCAAGATGGTTGAAAACTTAACTGAATCAATGCCAAGGCAAATACAAGCTTGTATTAAAACAACGGGGTCATATTCCGTATTAATATATTTCGATTAAATGAAGTTGTAGGTGCATTTAAACTTTATTGTACTTTTTTCTAAGTAATCTTTTGATTTTTTTCTTTTTTCTTTTGATTAATTGAGTTGTTTAATTTCAGAAAAGATTTTGTTATTTTAGGTTCCTTTCCTTATTTACTCAGGTTTATTTGACCTTATTCTTTAACAAACCCACAGAATCTCTAAAAATATATCAAAAGATTCCAAAAGAAATCAGTGGAAACCTGTTTTTTTGACGCAATTGTCTTATTTTTTAATTTTAGATAAGTTATTATATAGAAAAAGGGGTTTTGTTGTAAAAAACTTAGGTTCCTTTGATTCACTCAGGTTTATTTGACCTTATTCTTTAACAAACCCACAGAATCTTTAAAAATATATCATATATATATATTTATATATATATATTATATATATATATATATATTTATATATATATATATATATATATATATATATATATATATATATATATATATATATATATATATATATATATATATATATATATATATATATATATATATATATATATATATATATATATATATATATATATATATATAATGAAAACAAATGATAAATTTTTTATTAAATTTGATATAAATATTATTTTATTATATTTATTATTTCTTTATTTGTTTAATATAAAAAGGTTAAAATGTAAATTTGATAGAAATGTTTTTTAGGCCTTTTGAAGTAGTTGTTGACCAAGAACTCTCTGATGTTATGTGTTTTGTTTTACCTGGATTATCTCCTCTTGTCATTCATACAACCTCATTTCTTGGCGATGTGAGTTATAAAATTTATTTATTTGTAATTGGTACATATGCTTATATATATATTAGGGTGGCTCTTAAAACAACTTTTTTGAGAAAACTTGCTCTGACCCCTTTATATATATATATATATATATATATATATATATATATATATATATATATATATATATATATATATATATATATATATATATATATATATATATATATATATATATATATATATATATATATATATGTATATATATATATATATATATATATATATATATATATATATATATATATATATATATATATATATATATATATATGTATATATATATATATATATATATATATATATATATATATATATATATATATATAATATATATATATATATATATATATATATATATATATATATATATATATACAAATAGTATTGCGTACTTAGGTAAGCAATCTGACATCATACTGAAATAGCCTGCTGCTGGGGGCTTCAGTACATACATCGACTGACAATTAGCCTGACTCGCAGTGGAGTGCTGTTACATCAACTGAGGGTTTGGGATGGAACAGCAGTCATTTTATTCATCATTCTTCGTTTTTTTTCTTCTTTTTCTAAAAAAGCCATATGGGTTAAGGTAAGCAAAAAAAGTGAACAAATGCTTATAAAAATACACTTTTATAAGTGTATATATATATATATATATATATATATATATATATATATATATATATATATATATATATATATATATTGCGGGAGCAATCGCTTCTGTCACGTGAAACATGCTCTTTAATAGAATATTTATAAATTGCGGACGCAATAAAAAACCCTCTCTAATTTAGTTACGAGAGTAATAAATTATGCTTGCCCTAAAAATTTGGGAGGGAGAAAACTAATAATGGTTTACTTGATTTTATATTAAATTTTTTTTATATAAAGTTTTTGTTAAAGATTCTTGTTTAATTAAGCAAGAAGTATTGTTAAAAACAAAATAATTTCTATTCACATAATTTAATTGCGTTTTTTCAATTGAGGTAAAATGTTATTTCAATTTACTTAAGTAAATTGTTACTTTAGTAAAAGTTACTTCAATTAAAAAACTCATTTTTTCATGTTAACTTACGTCATTCTATTGAAATTAGAGCGGAAATTTCTACAAACAATGAATGGTGGTTTGTGAATAAGACTTCTTTATATAAAGCATTTACAGCAAACATTTAACGAAATTAAATAAAATTTTATATAAGTTTATTAATGATTTTAAATTGTGTAATAAACACAAATTAATTATGAGAAATGTTGTTAATTTAATTTTGTGAAGCATTTGTTAAAAACCATATGTATAATAATAAAAGTATTTTATTTTATTTCGAAAAAAATATTTCTAAAAATGTTGTGTTTTGAACGGAATAGTTTGCTTATTGTTAAAAACAAAATAATTGCTATTCACATATTTTTAATTGTGTTTTGGCAGTCGAAGTAAAACAATTTAAAAAAATTTGTTTACTAAATGTTAACCTAAAATGTTTTTGGCCAAAATTTAATTAAATTTAAAAAGCTTTTGTTATTGAAATTATAATTTATTATTTATAACTTAATTAAAATTATAAATTTATTTGAGGAAAAGAAAATTTTAAGTTTAAAAACATTTGCTAAAAAAGTTATTATATTAGCGTTAGCAACGAAAAAAGATTATATATGTTTTAACGAAAAGAAATCGTTATTTCATTGTTTTAAAGGTTCAAAAACATTATGCATTTAAATTTTAATTTAAAAAATGAAACAATGAAAAAAATGAAAGCTTTTAAACTTGTTTCAAATAAATTCGATGTAATAATAAAAAAAATTGACTGTAGTATTAAGTTAAAAAAAAACAAAACACAATCAGATGCGATCAAATAATAAATAAGTATTTTGGAAGTTGAAAGAATTTTAAACGTTTTATCTGGCGGTGCGCTGCTAAATAATAATTTTAAAATATTTACTGTCTAAAGAACGCTGTATAACAAATTAAAACTTAATAAAATTAAGTGGAACACACATATCCAAAAATAAAAGATTGCTCCCGATTACTTAATGATGAGCTCGCATAATTGCAAATTGAGTTTTACGGGCGCGAAACATCGTGCTGGACAATTTTCTTCATGCCAAGGCCCAATGTATATATATATATATATATATATATATATATATATATATATATATATATATATATATATATATATATATATATATATATATATATATATGTATATATATATATATATATATATATATATATATATATATATATTTATATCCAGATTTGATTGTTCAATACAATCGCATTTGGAAATCTTATTTGCAGTTTTTTTTGCAGACTGCAGATACAATTTGTCAAACATTTTTAGTATAATATTTTTTTTATAACATTAAATTTTTAATGTTTTAGAATTAAATTAGAAATATGAATAAATGTTCAATAAAAATTTGAAGTTAAAACATCAATTTAGTTAGATGTTGAGAAAACTTGAAGCAAACTTTTGTCAAATAAATAGGTTAAGTGTTTTCTTTCACTAACGCAAGACTTTAAAAAACAATTTATGAAAGTGAAAAAACTGTTGTCTGAATAATAGCATTTTTTGAAATAAAGATTGCTTCCTTATAGAACCAGAACCCTCTGCATCATATATCTCTCTATTCTGCATCGTATATCTCTCTATTCTGCATCATATATTTCTCTATTCTGCATCATATTTCTCTCTATTCTGCATCATATATCTCTGTTCTGCATACCTTTAGAACCAGAACATCGTGTCATAGCAAAATTGGAAAAAGCTTCATAAAAAGTGGGGAAAAAAGGCTATCTTACTGAAACTCAGCAAAAGAATGAGAGTTTGTTGATGATCTTGCCACTTTGTTTGGCATTTCATGTCTGGGTGCTTTAAGCATAATCAGAATTCATAAAGATAAAGACTTTTTTGTATTTAAGCATAATCAATATTCATAAAGACTTTTTTGTATTTAAAAAAACTGTTGACTCTAAGAAGACTGATGTGTATGAGACCAGTTGGTATTGCACTTCAAAAAAGATTAGGGCTTATTAGAATAAAGTTAAACACAGATAGAAAAAACAAAGGTTATCAATATTTAGAAGCCATGAATGAGACAGTTGTTCTGTTGCAGTGGAAGTTAAAATTAATCTATTGAAAAAATTATTTTGAAGAAATGTTTATGACCAACAATAAATCTTGTGACATCAAGTGTGGTAGTATCTATTGGATAGGACAAATTTAAGCAACAAAAGGCAACTTATGTATTAGCTGCTGCCGTTTCGAGTCTAGGCCACAGTGTAGATGACTTGAAAATCATCAGTTCTTTAATCCACAGAGAGAACCAAATTGTATCGGGAAGAAACTGCCTAAAAATTAAAAGAATTATTTAAAGAAACTTCTTCATTTATGATGGCTGTTCATTGGGATGGTACTTTCTAAAGCAAATACTTTAGTGTATTTGATATAAAAGTAAAGTACGAATAAAAGTATTGAAACCAAAGTTCATCTACAATTGATGCAGGAAACTTGAGATACCAAAAAAGATAATAACAAGTCATAAACAATTGCAAATGTTGCTATTGGTTACAAGTCATAAATAATTGCACATGTTGCTATTGGTTACAAGTCATAAACAATTGCATATGTTGCTATTGATAATATATTTTTATTTGCAATCTAATAGTATTTTAGTAATTTTTAATAATCTATTATCAATACTTAAATGTTTTTTTTTAGAGTTTTTTTTTCAAATTTTTTTATAAATTATTTTATAAATAATTTTCATTATAGGCCATTGAGTTTTTTGAAGAAACACTAAATGCACAGTACCCTTTCTCTGCTTACAAACTTGTATTTGTTGATGAAGCATTTATGTCATCACAAACCTTTACATCAATGAATATTCTCAGGTATATGAATAAGCAATTGCTTTTTGTATCTTAATTCAAACAATGGTTTTGAATTACAATTTGTTTAAATTGAGGATTTGAAAAAAAATGTTTTTTAATTTATTAAATTTTTTAAACATGTAACATGAAATAAGAAATTATAAATTTTCAGCACAAATCTTTTACATCCTGAAAGCGTTATAGAACAAACTTTTATTTCAAGAAAGATTTTGGTGAATGGTTTAGCTGAGCAGTTCTTTGGAATGTTTGTTGGTATGCATTCTTGGTAAGCTCTGGTATGAACTGGTTTTGAAAATAAATTTGTTTAATATACTCCTAAATATTTATAAGTTTAATAAGTTAATAATTAATAAGTTTCATTTTTATCATATTTTACTATGATTACCCCCTTGATTCTACTGATATGATTGCGATTATCCCCCTTTCTATATATACTTTACAAATGTGAGTAAAAAAAAAATTGGAATGGATTATTTTACAATTCGTTCCAATTTTTTTTTTACTCACATTTCAATCTATTGTTTTTGATTGGATTTGAAAAACAAAATAAATTAAAATTATTTTTAGGTGTGATCTTTGGTTGATTCAGGGTATCTTTAGGTATTTAGCTGGTTTATTTTTAAAGAAACATTTTGGAAATAATGATTACAGGCTGTGGTTACATAAGGTATTACTTTTTGAATTTCGAATACACTTTGGTTTTACTTATTGGTTTTAATACACTTTAGAATAATTATTTTCGTTAAGCACAATTAAAACAAAATCCTAATTGAAAAGTTTTATACATTTTTTATATGTAAATTATTTTATAGTTTTGTTTGTAGGAATTAGAGTTGCTTTGTAATTATGAGCTGGTTGGACCAGGCCTCCCTCCACTATACCCTTATTCATTAGTTACTCATTCCATAGATGGTAAACAAGAATCAACAAATGAAATATCACAGAGTTCAGCTATTCAACAACATCCACATATAATATCAAGTAAACAACTAAAAATGATTGGTAAATAAAATAAATGCTTATTTTTATTATTTATATATTTTTGTTTTATGATGTAATTGATGTATAGTTGTGATTTCTAAATTTATTTATTTATGAAAATGAACAGAACACAATTTGTTCATTCAATGGTGCAACTCTATTTTTAAACAACGGTGGATTGATAAGCTCAACCTAATATATTCCCTTAAATATTTTAAACTATAATGCTTTGTCATTCTTGTTCATTAAGAGACAGATACCAAATTTAATACAAAACAAGGTTGAATGGTTTTTAGTGTTACAATAGTTGTTGATGGCCACTTGCACCAAAGGTTGACTCAACTGATGAAATGCCAATCACATTGGAATTTTGAAATGCTAATCACATTAGAAATGTGAAATGCCAATCACATTAAAAACTAGATTTTTAGTTTTTGAAAACAATTTTGAAAAATTTGTTTAGTTTATTTTTTTTAGATTAAATAAGTCTTTAATTAATAGGCTCTCTGTCACTCTCTCTCTCTTCATATATATATATATATATATATATATATATATATATATATATATATATATATATATATATATATATATATATATATGTGTGTATATATATATATATATATATATATATATATATATATATATATATATATATATATATATATTCATAAAGATTTTATTTTAAGTATATTAGTCTGTATATTAAGGTGTTTTAAAAAAAGGTCATGTCTAAAAAAAAAAAAGAGTCCTAGCTTATCATCTGGCCAGGCCATGATTTAGTACTAAAGTGTTTGTTTTTTTTATTTTTGAAAAAAGGGTTTCTTCAGGAGGTAAAAGGGGCGATTTTTAGGGCATTTTGTACCATTTTTAACACTGTTTGTTGGAAATCTTGACATTAAAATTTTTGATTTTTTTTTTTTTATATTTATGTTTGTTAAGACTTATCTAATCTAAATAAAATAGGCTCTACTCTCAAAAAAAAAATAAAAATTTGTAAAAATTGTTTCAAAAAACTCTAAAATCCATAAGTATTTAAGAAATAAAAATATTTTTACGCTGTACATTTTTTTTTTACATTTTTTAAAATAAAGTTTTGAATTTTTTCAGTAAATAATATGTTTTCTTCAAATATATTTTATATTAAATTTTATTTTAGATTATATACTTAAAGAATTAATAAAATGTTAGCAAAAAAGTTAGAAGTATTTTGATTGGATAAAAAAAAAGTTAGAAGTATTAGATTGGAAAAAATATTTTTAGTTAAAAAGTTGATCAAAAAACTTCCAGCAAAAAAATTTGCTAAAGAAATAATTCAATATCTTTTTCTACGAAAATCAAAGTGTGAAGAAAAAGTAAAGTTCTTAGTAGGTTGTCTAACTAAAGTTCTTCTTTTATACCTAATTGTCCAGTTGATCAGTCTGACTGCTGCATACTGTCTAAACTAATGGTTCCTTGGAGACTTGGTGCCTTTAGAGTGCTTACAATACAAAAGCTAAAGTAATATTTTCAATAAGCTCAAAATTATGATAGCCATGTTTATTCCCTGTTTATTTTATAATTCTGCTGTTAAATATTTTTACAGGATTAAAATTGAGAAGTTGTTGAACAAGTCGATGAAATTAAAAGATCAGAAGACATCCTGCTCAAATTAACAAAAGATATTTGTTTGAAGAGCAAACAAATAAAGTATTTTGGATCGGAGAACATCCTTATGTTATGTTTGAAGAAATATTAAAAGAAAAAATGAGAAAAGTGAAAGACAAAGAAGATATTGCTTTCTTAAAAGACCAGCTTAGTGAAAGAAAAGGATGTCTTGGAGGTAGAGATAAAAGATATGTATATTCTGGATTAAGAAGTAAAAGAAGCAAATCAAAGTTAAATAGAAATCAATCAGTAGAATTATTTAAGAATGATTTAAATTACTTAAGTTCTTCTAGTTACACTACCAACAAATTATGCGAGGAAAAAAATATTGACTTTGATTTTAATGAAAAATCTTTCATAAATAAAAATAATTTTAAACATCCTTGTGTTTAAAATTATTTTCTTCTTCCTAAAAATATTCTTCAGTCAACCGCTCATACAGCAGTTATGGAAGATATAACGGCCCACCAACACATAGCATTGATTAGTAGTGTTGTTGTCATGGCTGGTGGTTCTGTAGTAAACTTTAATTGTTCTAAATCCGCATCTTATTGAGCTGCAGAGAACATAATATCCGTCAGGGCTAAAGAAATATAAGAATATGTAATTCTGCTGTAATATCATCAGATTCACTAATGACTATACACTTTGACGTAAAAATAGTTAATGAATTAATGGAGTGAAAGCAGTTTAAAAAAGATATAATTGCAGTTTTGGCAAGGATTAATGCGAAAGTAGAACTACTTGGCATTCCTCCAATAGATTCTAGTTCAGGGGTTAATCAAAAGCAAGCTATTGTACAAGCTATTGTAGAATTGATGGAGTTTTTTGTATTAAAAGATAAGGTTAAATGTCTCTGTTTTGACTGAACTCAGCAAATATAGGAAGATGGCAAGGTACTTGCATGAGATTAATTCAACAAGTTCAATGTCCATTGTTATTGATTGCATGTAGACATCATGTGATTGAGTGAAACAATGCCCGTTCTGGAAGATAACTAAAGCAGCGAAATTACTGGTAACTTCTAGTAACTAGCAGCGAAACTTCAAGTAACTTCTGGTAACAAGCAGCGAAACTTCTGGTAACTTCTGGTAACAAGCAGGGAAACTTCTGGAAACTTCTGTTTCTACTTTAGAACTTCAAATAGTTTTTTTTCCAGAAAACAAACTATTTGAAAAGAAACTATTTGAAATTCTAAAACAAAACTGGAATAATATAGATGCTGAAACTAAGGAACTGGTATGACTTTATTCATTTATTTTTTCTATACAGAGTCCACTCTCTTATATATTTTCCAGAATCAGAAATCAATATAGTACTGATTTTGTATTTTTATGAGCTTTGCTTTTTTGAAACAATTTTTTTAAATTTTAAATTTTTTTTGAAAATAGAGCCCATTTTATTTAGATTAAATAAGTTTTTATAAATGTAAATATATATTTAAAAAATTCATTTTTATTTTTTTACTTCCTACAAACTGTATTTAAAATGCTACAAAACATCCCTAAAATTCCCCCTTTAACCTCCTGAAGAAACCCTTAGGTTTTTTAAAACAAAAATTAAAAAAATTTGAGTACTAAATTATGGTCTGAGCAGATGATAAGCTAGGGCTCTTTTATATATATAAGTATATGTTTGTGTGTGTATATATATATATATTAGGGTAGGTCGATTTTAGCTTTTTTTTTGAATTTTGAGTTGCGTAATGTTGCAGTAACTGTGTCTTGGTTAGAAATGAGGTTTTACCAAATCTCAAGTATCCTGGTTTAAAAATGGCTTGCGGATTTGCATTTTAAGTCTTATTTTTGGACTAGTTTTGTTAGATTGTTTATTTCAAACGTTGCAAAATTTTATTTTAAGTCTAGTAATCTCGTTTTAAAATATCTCGTTTTGAGTATATAAAGTAACCAATAAACAAGTGCAATTGTTTTAAGAAGCCAATAAAGTTTCGCTAAATCGTTTACACGCATTTAAACTTAGCAAATCTTTTTTGTATTTATATTTCTTGTTTGTATTTTAAAGTTAGTTTTAAGGTTAAATTTATTAAAAAGTAGGTTCAAAAATAAAACTGCAGTTTAAAGAAATCTTTTAATATCAAAGGTAAATACTTATGGTTATTATATCTAGAGTAATGTTTTAAACTGTTTATATTACATAACTTTTGATTTGCAATTTCTGAAGTAGATTAAAATATAAAACTTTTCGATGGAACTAATGGTTTTACTCAATTCCTGAGTTTCCTGAATTCATGGCCCCCAAATCTTTTCAAAAAAGTTTTATTTCTTTATTTTTATCAAAGCAGGTTTTTAATAGTAAGTTTTAATATTTTAGGTTTTTTTGATGCATAGGCCCCCACTAAAAACTCACACTGTTGCCCATTACTCTAAGTGTAATACTTTAATACAGTTTACATATATAATTAATTTACAAAAATGCCGAAAGTAAAGGTTGCAATTACACGGATGAAAAGTGAAAAAAAATATTGTGGTGGCCCATGTGAACTATCAACGACAGATCCAAGCACTTTTAGACAGGTTATTCAGTATTATTACTATCTTATTCATATAAATCCAAATGCAGATATCTTATTAGTGACTCAGCAAGTTAGCAATAATATAAAATCAGTTTGGGCTACAGTAAACCCAAGATTACCTCTTAAAACTGGCAAATCTATTAATAGGAAAGTTAAAGATCTTCTCGTACTTGTTAAGGATATTAATCGCAAGCACGGAAAAGCAAGCACTAAAAGAAATCTTGATGCAAACTTGGACAAACTTTTTGATATTTCTGCGTATTCCTGTTCATTAGATGTGTTTCCCTGTAGTGACAGAAAAGTTTCATGTAATAAATAAAATTGCATCGAAGAACATATTGTATGCCTTTGTTCTCAAAGTAATAAAGTGCCTCTGGAAGACAGAGCTTATCTTCGTGATCAGAGGAAAAAAATTGGTCCAAAAGGTGCATATCAACTTTCTTCCGTCGATAGATTATCTGTCAAAAGGATTCAAAGACTTGATAAAGAACGACAAAAAATATCTCATAAGCTAGTTAATGAAGATGAATCCCTCATAGCACAAGTAAACTTAATTGAAGAAACAAGTGGTTTGACCAATACGGAGGTAAATATTTTATAAATACATGAAGTATTTGTAACAGATGAAACAGAAAGCGTTTTATTTTATTAACTCTTTTTAGGATGAAGGTGAATGGAAACCAGTAAATAATCCTATTGGAAAATACAACTTAGTTAAACTTCCAAGATTTGCAATGGAATTAGTCAGAAATGAGTGTTCGTCAAACGTAGGTGCAGCCCTTGCAAATGCTTTACTACATGACATAAAACATCTCCTGAAAAATGACGTTGATATTAAAGATATTTTGATTGACAAATGCAAGTTAGATAGGGCCAAGTCAAAAGTAAAAATCGTTAGTGAAGAGGTGGACTCAGAACAAAAAAAAAACAGTTAATTTGTCTTGGGGTTGACAGCAAGCTCGATCAAATAACTAAAACAAGTATAGTAATAAACTTACCTCAAGGAGAAGTACTAAAGAAATGCATTGAACTTGAACATCACCTCACATTTACTTATGTAGATGGAAAATCGAGTGGAAATTATTTGACTCATAGGACGATTCCTGTCACCGGTGCTACAGGTTTAGTTCTTGCTACTGAAACGTTTAGTGTTTTACAAGAACATAACAGTTTGGAAAGTATACAAGCTGTTCTTCTTGATAATACTGCTGCCAATACTGGACCAATAAGTGGCTTAGTGGTAAAACTAGAAGAGTTTTTAAAAAGAAAACTACATCTAATTGAATGCGCATTACATCAAAATGAACTTCCGTTACGAGCTCTTTTTGTAAAACTTGATGTTGACACAACTGGGCCAAGAAGCTTTAGTGGTCTACTTGGCAAAAGATGTGCTGAAAATATTCAGGATAAAAATCAAGTTTTGTTTAATCGTATTGAAAACCCAATTGTAGATGGATATATTCCAAAAGAAATACTAGTAGACCTTAGTTGCGATCAAAGACTTTTATTTGAATATTGCAAAGGAATAGGCTTTTGGTAAAGTTTCTGATAAATGGGCCGCCTATAAAATTGGACCGCTTAACCACGCAAGGTGGTTACACGCAAGGTAACTATAGCTATTCGCCTTCTCTGTTTGTATACTAGAGACAATCAATCAACTGTTTCTTTAAAAAAACTCGTATGTTTTATAGTTCAGGTTTACGCTCCAGCGTGGTTCGATATAAAAAAATCTTCAAAATTTCATGAATCCCCGCGCTTTATTTTTTCTACTATCACTAGAATAAATAATCTCTCCTTTGATGATGTTAAATATATTGTTAAAAAAAAACATTAAAAACAATGCATTGTGCCTAAAACCTGAAAATATTCTTTATGCCATGTTAAAAGATAATGACAGCAAGATACGAAACTTAGGTTTTCAAATCCTACTGGGTCTAAGGCGAAGGTATTTTTTTATAGTAAACTAAAATAAAGTTTTGAAAAAAAATGATACATTAAATGTGGTAATTGGATTTGATTTATATTTATAAAGTAAACATCGAAAGTTTGGAAGTAAATTTGAAAAAAATTCCAGAAATTAATTCTAATGCTAATCATTGGTATGAGTTGGTTGATATCAGCATTACTAAATTTACGGAGCCCCCAACAACACAACATTTTTCAATTGAGCAAATCCAATATGCGATTGACAATAATGTTAAACCTGAAATCCCCGACTTTCCATCTCAATCCCAGAGTGTTGAGCGAGCGGTAAAACTTGTGTCGGACGCATCCCAATATGTTTATGGATTCGAGAATCGACACAGCTGCATTTTAACTAAACTACTTAGCAGGAAGATGCGTAAACCGTATATTTCAAAAGGGCATTATTCCCATTCTTATGATGATATTTTTTAATTGAAAATGTTTTCCTAAAATATATATATCCATAGCCAAAATGTTTTTAAATTGTGAAAATAATGTTTATTTTGATATTCTTATGTAAATATAAGAATAAAAGTTTCACTATTTAAATCTTCAAATAGTTAACAAGTTGTTATAAATTTAGCTTAATTGTTATAAACTGTTATAAACTTAAATCATACAGCAAAGCAAATAGTATTGAAAAACATTTAAATATGAACTTAGTTAAAACGTCAAGTTTTGCATATAACGCTTTTTAAGGTGTTTTTTTACATAATCCAACAAATCTTAAAAATTAAATCCGCAAGCGATTCTTTATCCAAAATCTCTCAAATTTTGAGAGTAATCGTATTTTAACTGTCTACAACTACTGCAATATTACGCAATATGCGGAATTAAAATCGACCTACCCTAATATATATATATATATATATATATATATATATATATATATATATATATATATATATATATATATATATATATATATATATATATATATATATATATATATATATATATATATATATATATATATATATATATATATAGATACATACATACATACATATATATATATATATATATATATATATATATATATATATATATATATATATATATATATATATATATATATATATATATATATATATATATATATATATATATATATATGTATATATATATATATATATATATATATGTGTGTGTGTATATATATATATATATATATATATATATATATATATATATATATATATATATATATATATATAAATGTTATCTTTTATAATAGTAATGTATTACTATTAGTAAAATAAATTGATAATTGAAATAGGGGTTTAAAAATATGTAAATTAATTTCTTATTTTTTACCAGGCACAAAAAGTCATTTTGTGATGCGCATTATTGAGCTTCGGATTGGTCAAGATCTTTTACTTCAGGCTTTTAACAAGTCATTATCTTTGGCATCTGCTGCTGCTGCAAAAAATACAGACATGATGTTGTGGAGTAATATGCTGCTATCCACAACTGGTTTTTTGAAAACTATTTCTACTGTCTCTGGCAAAGATATAAATATTTTTCTTGATCAATGGATGTATCTTATCAATTGATTAATTATTTTAGATTATGGAACCTCAAGTGTGTTTTATATGATATAATATAGGCGTTACTTTTTAGCAGATTTTAAGTCGATCTTAAATATTCTATGTCTTCCTAAATATTCTATTTTTCATAATATCAGCATATCAAATTCAAAAAACATAATATTTAGTTTGAAGAGTAAAAAGTTGATATTTTTTGTACTTTAATAATTAAGCTTTTAGTAACATTGTCATATATTGAAACAATTTGCAATTGTAATTTGTTATTCTTTAAAAAATATGCCTAGCTGCCATTCAGGTGTAGCAAAAATAAATGCTTCTTTCAGTTTCAACCGAAAAAGGAATATCATTGAGTTAGAAGTCAGTCAGTGTGTTGGAAAAGGTTGCCAGAAGTATGTGGTAAGAAGTATTGAAGTTTAAATAGTAATAAATATAAAATAATATTAGGTATTTTTTATTTATTTTTTTACATTATATTTTTCTGTTTAAAACTTATTAGTATTTGGAAATGATTTTTATTTATAATTATTATTTTATTTATTCCGCTATCATTTTATTTAATAGGGTCCTATGATTATATGCATACAAGAATTAGATGGATCATTTCCACATACTGTTCAAGTGGAAGATATTATTTCTCAACACGAGTTGCCATGCCATTCTAAAAGTCGTCGTAATAAAAAGAAAAAAATTCCTCTTATTACTGGTGATGAAGTGGACATGGATTTAAGTGTGACATTAGATTCTGATTCACCTGTGCTATGGGTTCGTATTGATCCTGATATGACATGGCCTAGACATGTTTCCCTGCAACAACCAGATTACATGTGGCAGTATCAGCTTAGATATGAAAGAGATGTTACTTCGCAAATAGAGGTTTATAGTTAATTATAAGCTTTGCTAAATCAAAATCTTGAACTTTTTAAAGCTGAATATAAAAAGTAAACTTATGAGTTTAAGCTGATTATAAATCGGTCTCATTAAAAAATGTATCTAAAATTGTATTTACATTTGAAGAATTATATTTTTGTTTAAAGATGTAATAAAAGTCTTAAATTATAATCAAGTTCATAAATGTTTTGTTATCAAAAATGTTTCAATTAAATTTTTTTTTTGTATACTTCTATAAAATGAAGGCTGTTCGTGCACTGGAAAAATACCCATGCTCAGGTACCAGGAGTGCTCTGATTGACACAATAAATAATGTAGAAGCATTTTTTAAAGTTAGGATGGAAGCAGCTTTTTGTTTAGCTAAGGTAAAAATTTAGCATGTGATTTATTTTATTTTATTATTTTACTTGTTTACATACTTAAAATATTCTCCCTTTTTTTAGATTGCTAACACAGAAGTAGAAGTTTGGGATGGTGAAAGTGCCATGATTGAAATATTTGAGAAAATGTTTGGCTCCAATGCATGTGCTTCCATTCCAAAGTTTAATAACTTTTCTAATTTTACTGGGTATTTTATGCAAAAGGTATTTTTATATTTATATATCACATAGTCCTAAAAATTAGGGTTTGCATTTGGCAATGTTGGCCTAACTGCCAACCTAAACATTTAAAAAATCGCAGACCTTGTTTCTATGTTTTATGGTAAAACTTTTGAATCAAATTATTTTGCTGACCTGATGTCTAACAGATTAATTTCAGCAAATTATTTTCGACCTGTTTTTTTCTAATTCCAAGGACTGATCACATATATTTTTATATTTATATATCTCCTATATAGGTTTCAGTGTTTATATAGAATTTGTATTTTAATGCAGGTACTACCCACATCCATATCAATGCTGAAGAACTCTCAGTCACAGTGCACAAGAAGGACACTGCAGTTTATATTAGAACTTCTAAAATATAATGATAACAGGTTTAACCAGGTTAATAAATGCGCTATCAAATTATTAGTTGGACTGTTTATTCACTTTTAGTTTCACAATAACTATGTTTCTTTAATAATTATAAATTTTTTTAGTTTCATGATGGATTTTATGTAAGTTCATTGATTGATGGTTTAAAAAATGTAATTGGTCCTGCACTACACTTAGCATCAGCTACTTCATTGTAAGCAAAAAATAATTTAAAAAAGACCATGTAAACATGTTATTATTAGTCATTCAACGCAAAATGTTTTTTTTGTATAGTGATGAACGTAAAAATCTTCCTGTTGATGAACATGCCAAGGTGTTTTTTATTGTTTATTTGTAAATTAACATAATTTGAATTCTCCTTTTAAAATTTTAAAAACTTATTATGAATGTATTAATATTGTTACATAAATAATGTTACATATTTGTTAATATATGAAAATTTAAGAGTAAGTTAATTTAATACTTTAAGTAGTTTTAGAGACATGAAACCAAGTTATTTGTTTTAATTGTCATTAAAAAAAGGTTTTTAAATTCATTTTTCAGCTTGTACTATCTGAAGTAGTCCGCAGATTGAATATGGATAAAATAATACCTTCTTTTCGATATGCTGTAACTTGCAGGTATGTGTTTTTTTGTCTGTAAATAGTTATTGACTCTTCTTTTTTTTATTGTATTATAATTTTTTTTTTAATTTATTAATTTTTATTGCATTATAATTTTTTTTTTTTAATTTATTAATTTTTATTGTATTATAATTTTTTTTTTTAATTTATTAATTTTTATTGTATTATAATTTTTTTTTAATTTATTAATTTTTATTGCATTATAATTTTTTTTTTTAATTTATTAATTTTTATTGTATTATAATTTTTTTTTTAATTTATTAATTTTTATTGTATTATAATTTTTTTTTTAATTTATTAATTTTTATTGTATTATAATTTTTTTTTAATTTATTAATTTTTATTGTAATATAATTTTTTTTTTAATTTATTAATTTTTATTGTATTATAATTTTTTTTTAATTTATTAATTTTTATTGCATTATAATTTTTTTTTTTAATTTATTAATTTTTATTGTATTATAATTTTTTTTTTAATTTATTAATTTTTATTGTATTATAATTTTTTTTTAATTTATTAATTTTTATTGCATTATAATTTTTTTTTTTAATTTATTAATTTTTATTGTATTATAATTTTTTTTTTAATTTATTAATTTTTATTGTATTATAATTTTTTTTTAATTTATTAATTTTTATTGTATTATAATTTTTTTTTAATTTATTAATTTTTATTGCATTATAATTTTTTTTTTTTAATTTATTAATTTTTATTGTATTATAATTTTTTTTTTAATTTATTAATTTTTATTGTATTATAATTTTTTTTAATTTTTGCTTTATGATAACTAATATTAATTTTTTTTTTAATTAAAAGATTATTTAAGTTTAAAAATATGCAATAATTTTTCTGTTTAAAATGCTTAAATATTTGCTGATATTTGCTAAGTAAATGTCAAGTGTTTAAATTAATCTTTCATAGTTGTTTGAAAGTAATTCGTTGCATGCAGACCAATGGTCATATTCCAGCTGAATCAGCGCTTTTTAAAAAGTATTCAAAGTATGTGGTTGCATTTTTTTTTTTTTTTATAAGTTGTTCTCTATTAAATGTAAATCTAGTTTTGTCTATTGCAGATTATCAATGGTATTGACATTTCAAATTTTTTTTAATACTTTTTATTTTTATTATTCATATTTATGCTTTTGTTTATTTTTAGATATGGGTTGTTTGAAGATATTCGAATAACAGCTCTCAAAATTATGGTTGATTTTGTCTCAGGTTTGCATGATTCATTTTATTTAATGTATTATTTCAAACTTTATTTTTATATTTTTATTATATAAACTATTTATTTTATTATTTTATTTAACTTAGATAGGTTTCTATTTTATTTTAAATTTCAAGTTTGTCCAAACTTTGAGTTTTTTTTAATTGTTTAGTTCACTTTTCTGAAACCGATTTTGATTGGTTACTAAAGATATTAGAAAATGAGCCTTCACCAAGAGTAAAGTAAATTGAATAATTTGTTTATAAACTAAATTAATTTTTTGAGGTTATTTCTCTTTTTCTTTTTTTTTTTTGCTAGGCACACTGTTTTGCAATGCTTAGTAGATACTCCACCATTATTGAATCAGACACAGATCAATAACTATGGATCGATTATGTACTCAAGGTTATGGAAGCTAATCAAGTCAGTTGACTAAAATTCGTTTTGCTTATACAAAAACTATATATATATATTATACTATATATATAGTTTTTATTTTATATATATATATTATAATACATTAACATGTATATATAATATATAATATATATACCTATTTATATATGTATGTATATATGTATATATATATAAATATATATATATATATATATATATATATATATATATATATATATATATATATATATATATATATATATATATATATATATATATATATATATATATATATATATATATATATATATATAAAGAGAGAGAGAGAGAGAGAGATATTTAGTATTAAAAATACTTAACTCTTGATCGTTGTAGAGTGCTCAATATTTAAGAAATATATATATTTTCAAAAACAGAGCGTTTTATACTTGATTATAGAAAAAAGCGACTTTTAATGAAACTTAAAGTTTCATGCCTATCGGCAATCATCAGCCATGAAGTACCTAGGTACTTTATGGCTGATGATTGATGCTGGTACTTCATGGCTGATGATTTCCAATAGGCATGAAACTTTAAGTTCCATTAAAAGTTGTTTTTTCTATAAATAAGTATATATATGTATATACACACATATATATATATATATATATATATATATATATATATATATATATATATATATATATATATATATATATATATATATATATATATATATGTACTTTCATGGTCATCCCATGGCACCGGGTACATTTTCTCCAAGGGCAACTGGACATTTTTTAAAAAAAGGGTTTATATATAATCTGCAGTCTATAAAAAGTGGTATTTATAATAACTTGTTTTACATACCATCTAAATTTGAGATTATAAATAATATAGCTATTAAAGTAACTGGCTTTTTCCCATAATTAAAAAGTAAATGAAGGAGATAGCAATAAGCTTAATAATACTAATGTCATTTTAGACTGGTCATGCAAATCTATGGCTTAGAGATTAGAATATTTGTGAAAAAAAAAGACCATTTTGTAGTTAGTTGTAATAAATTAACTATGTATTAAAAACTCAATCTGTTTAAAAGACTCCTTGTGCACTTTTTTTAATGAAAACAATCTGCCTTTTAGGTAGTTAACAGCTGTTGTTGTGTTAACACTATTAATAATTTGACTTAATATTTTTGTATTGATGGCCACCAATTTCTATTTACAAATACTTTCAATCAATGTTAGGGTTTCTTCAATTTGGTTTAAAGCAGCCTCTTTCAATAAAATTTGGACCAGACTCACCCAATTGTCATTTCGCTGAGCACTAGTGATGGACCGATGCAAATGCTGATTGTGGCTAATAATTGGTTTTAATGTATTTATATAAGGGTATTATATTAAGGATGTAAAATACACATTCAAAAATACATAAATTACATGTACCTAAACATCAGCAGTGACTCAGCCTACAAGCCTATGGTAATTAGCAATAAATTAATCAGCATTGGCTGATGCATTGGCTTTGGTACATAAGCCAAACCAAACTGGTGCATAGTCATACCTTATATATGCAAACTGCATACCTAATATTAATATATTACCTTTATATACATACATTAAACCCTATCATTAACCTCAATCAGCCATTGCCATCAGTACATCTCTACTCAGTACATTCAACAACTATTCTTCTGTCATTTGGTGAAGATAAAATGTAATGTTTTCTTGTAACTTGTTAGGTTGTATTTCATGCTGAAAAAGTGGCCAAGTTGGTTCTGGTTATTTCAGAAGTGGATGTAAGCAAACTTGGTGAAATAAATGCTGACACGGATTCATTTTAATAACAGACTTTTCTATCATAATATATTGACAAATAATAAAGCAATCTTTCAATTCCATTATTTTTGCAGGTGCATACAAATGCCTAATTTGATATTAACTTATTTAAATTACAATTTCTTAATTAAGTATTATGATTTCTTATTTACATGTTGTTTTTCTTGATTATATTTTTCGGTTTCTTAATTACATGTTATGTTTCTTGTTTACATATTACAATATCTAAAATAACTTTTGTGTTTTTCAATTACATATTTTGATTTCTTAATTACAATTTTAATGCTCTCAATTACATTCTGAAAAGATTTCAAGTGGAAGCTTTTAGTTAATGATTTAACAGACATTTAAATAGTAAAATAATTTCAGCTAAAATTCAATATATGTACAATTAATGAATGTTTCAGGACACTGGTATATATACCATGGTATATGTACATGGTATATATACATGGTATATATACCATAAATGGTATATATGACATAGGTATATATACATGGTATATATACCTTGGACATGGTATATATACCTATGGACATATGACATGGTATATATACATGGTATATATACCATGAATACTAGGTATATATATATATATATATATATATATATATATATATATATATATATATATATATATATATATATATATATATATATATATATATATATATATAGATAAATAATATATATATATAGATAAATATAATACATATATATAGAAAAAAAGGTGCCAGAACTCACCTATATTTTTCTTTATATGTCAATAAGAATAAAGAAGCTGTTTTCCAATATAAGAAGCTTTTTTTTTTCCTTCAGTAAAAGTAATGTTTTTCTTTTGTTGGGGGTGAAGAGAGTTAAATGGGGTGATGGGTTATGACACTGTATATAATATACAAACTATACAAAACTATAAACTTCTATAATAAATCCCAGATTTTTTTCCAATTTTTGTTTGACAAATCATCTTGTCTCCTTTCCTGGCTCCTAATGTCTACAGCTGAACGCCTTCTACTAAACAACCACAGGTCAACGTACTTTAAAAAATCAAAGCTTATTAGCAGTGGTCCTATTAATTTGTTGAATAAATGTTGATACTAAAATCCTGGTTGGTGTGATGATCAGATTCATATGTGAAAATCTTCATGAGGAAATGAAGATAGTATGAACAGCTTTTATCAAATGAACTAAATTTTTAGGATATACTTTTACAAGTTATTCACGGAATCCATAAATCATTTCTCTTTATTTAATTGTAGTCTTATTGACAGATTTCTTATTTCAGTTTCTCCAAATTTCACCAGAGTGTCAATTTTTTCTGCCATTGTTTTTGGTCTAAGATGCCAATCCATTGAGCTAATTCAACATCTTCGTCAGCCTTTTGACTCTTAGTTTTATGTAAAAGACGTTTGGATCAATAGCCTAATCATTTTGGAATTTTTATTGTGAATTCAAACTTCATGAAAATGGGGATTCTGTGCAGACACTGAAGCAAATTTGTAATCAAATTTTTTTTTTTTTTATTTAATTTACTTTGTTAGTTTTTGATTTGCTTTGTACAGATCGAAGTTGCAGTCTTAGAGATCCAAACTTAATTCCAACAATTCTTGGAGAGCATCAAACATCAATCCTAAATCCATTAAAAACTCAGTAGATGTAACTTTCTTTTATAAACCTTCATAAGTAGAATTTTCGTTTTTGTACCTTGTAGGATCAATCATTGCTTTTTCATAATGATTTATCAGCACTTTAATTTTATTAATTTTCCCATACCGCAAAAACTGAACAGAAACTAGATGATACCAATCTTGTATTTAAAGTTCAACCAATTTTTAACAGATTAATATTAAGTGATTATGTGCATGAATGTAAATCTCTGTTATTTTGGTGGGAAGCATGTCACATTACTTAAAGTTTATCAAGAAATTATTTTTATCTATTAATACTTGAAATCTCCCTCATACTATTAGGAAGATTTCAAGTCCATAATTAGTACAATGTTAAACTATAATGGAAGGAAACTTTTCAGTGATTAATTTAAAAGCACCACTTTCGCAAACTAAATAATTCTTCAAATATTCTTCTGTCATCTCATAAGAATGAAGACATTCGAGTAAAGCATCAAGTAGTCTTTTAGCTGTTATTAGCTTCAAGTTTTTTTAAATACATTGATTGGTGAATTCATTAGACTGCCATTTACACAACACTGAATGTACACTACCAGTGTCGATTTTTAGCTTGAAGTGAATGATTCATCAACTATTAAAAAAGTCTTACTCTTTGATTTTATGATTTGTGCGATTAGTTTTTTCTTTTGCTCATCTTGTTGCATAAATAATATTCTTCTTGCATAGTATAACACTTCTTTTACCATCTTTAATGCAGCTTGATGTCCAGCAGGTTCTTTTGTGATCAAAAATTTTCTTATGTGGCCAACTTAATTGGTATTTTTATAATTTAAATTATTTATTAATTTCAAATATATTTAAATTATTATTATTTTAAATATATTTAAATTAGTACTATTTTTAATATATTTAAATTATTATTATTTTTAATATATTTAAATTAGTATTATTTTTAATATATTTAAATTATTATTATTTTTAATATACTTATCTCTTATTAGATATATCAATTAAACTATAATTTTAAATTTAAAACATTGTTAACAAGAAATTCATTAATGATATAATAAAAATTACAAATAGTACACGCAAATAGCACAAATTTTGTGTTCTAAAAATAGATCTTTTTTAAGTAGCATAGGCATTATGAGATTGATATTTGGATAAACATTGCACAGAAACAATAGAACTTCTTAAAAGCATTAACGGTTGGAGGTCGTCCACAAATTATGCCATGCAATTTTTGACTGTTTTTGACTCCTCCCCTGCCTCACAACATTGTAACTCTTTAGTAACAAGTTCCGCAAGGTTCATCACAAAACCACTGACCCCTTCTCCCCACACCCCTAAAGTGTGGCGTAACTTGAATGACCCCTCGTAGAATTGATATTCAAACCAACAGTTTAGGGTCAAGGAAATAAGTTAAAGTGAATTCGCTGTAATATTTTCCAATCTGCAAAAAATGTTTTACTTGATCTTTACAATCCTTATTTGCATTTTTAATTAAAAGAATTTTAATTACAACTTTTTTTGAATTAAAAATGTTAATGATTTAAAAAGTTCTTTATATAAAAATACGAGAGAAAAAAGGTTTATATATAAAAAAAAGGTGCCAGAACGCCATTCTAGTGTGTTCTAGAAGAAAAAAAGCACTGTGTATATATATATATATATATATATATATATATATATATATATATATATATATATATATATATATATATATATATATATATATATATAAATAGTATTGCGTACTAAGGTAAGCAATCTGATGTCATACTGAAATAGCCTGTTGCTGGGGGCTTCAGTACATACGTCGACTGACAAATAGCCTGACTCGCAGTGGAGTGCTGCTACATTGACTGAGGGTTTGGGATGGGGAAGCAATCATTTTGTTCATCATTCTTTGTTTTTTCTTCTTTTTCGAAAAAAACGGTATAGCTTAAGGTAAGCAGAAAAAGTGAGCAAATGCTTATCAAAACATGCTTTACTAAGTATATATATATATATATATATATATATATATATATATATATATATATATATATATATATATATATATATATATATATATATATATATATATATATATATATATATATATATATATATATATATATATATATATATATATATATATATATATACACACACATACATACAGATACACACACACACATACACACACCAAATTATAAAAATGTTCAACAAACAAAAATGAAATCCAATCAAATTCTAATTTTTCCTATAAAATTTTTACTGTGGACACCAATATAAATTCCTAGGCTTATAAAAGTATTAAGGAAAGCTTGATGCAGAAGTGTTTTTTAATCAAATACAAATTTAAAAATGCTATTAACATCTAGAAATGAATCAGAATTACCATACATTAGCCAACCAATAACCTATTTAATTAAGTGCAAATGCTCCAAAATGTAAAATTAATTTCTAAAATGTAAAAATAAATCAAAAATTTAAATAAAAACTTTAGTTTAACAACACTAAAAGTTTTTGATTAAAGGGAAGCCAATCCAGTCTGCAACAGTCACTCGTAGTGTAAACTGCAATGAGGAAATCGATTTAGAAAGGATAAACTTAAAGTAGAGATAAATATTTGATAAAAAAGTCTGTGAAACCTTGGAGATATCTCTCTAATGTGTGGTGTAAAAATATGTAAATTTGGGGTAATATTAATTTGGAAAATGTACAATACGTTAAAACAAATTTTCAGACTCTTTTTTAATTTTTATGTAAAAACAAAAGATTACCGCAGAAATGGTTACAAATGAATTCCAATTGTGGAAATTTTAATCAAACTTTTTGCAACTTGATTATTGTATAAATTTTTTTATTTTTTTTATTTTTGCATAAATAAAATGAAAAAAAACTAAAACTACAAAAAAATTTATTGCAATTAAGTTAGTGTTAGTGTTAGTGTGTTCTACAAATAATGTGAATATATATATATATATATATATATATATATATATATATATATATATATATATATATATATATATATATATATATATATATATATATATATATATATACATATATATATATATATATATATATATATATATATATATATATATATATATATATATATATATATATATAAACACACACGCACACATATATATACACATACATATATAAATATATATATATATATATATATATATATATATATATATATATATATATATATATATATATATATATATATATACAAACTAATATATATATATATTTATATATATATATGTGAGTATATCTATATGTATGTATATAAACACACACACATATATATATATATATATATATATATGTGAATATATCTATATGTATGTATATAAACACACACACACACACACACACACACACACATATATATATATATATATATATATATATATATATATATATATATATATAAACACATATATATATGTATGTATATATATATATATATATATATATATATATATATATATATATATATATATATATACATATATATATATATATATAAATGATGAAATGATTGTAGGTAATATTTAAAAAAAAATTATTATTGATATCATCACAGGTACTGTGTTAGGCAATTTGCAGTGATAATGGCAAAGTTTATTTTTACAGTTTTTAAATTTAGTTTTGATTCAGCAAGTAATTATCGTTATCGTTGTGATATTATTGATTTCTTGAAAGTCATGTATGCAAAATATCCAAAAGCATCATTGGTATATATTTTTTTAAGTCTGTTTATAATTTTGTTTTATAGTTATTTGGAGACCACACGTATTTACCTTCTAAATTATTTGTTATTTTTTATTTTGTTTTTTGTTACCATATATAAGTTTTATATATTTTTCTCAGAGTACCAGTGAATTCAAAGAAAAAAAGGAAAAAGGAACTGTTCATTCTGAGAGAGTAATTTATTTATATAAAAATATAGTTTACTATACCTTATATATCTATTCTATCAATATTTTTTATTCTTATATCTTTTTTAGTTTAATTATAATATCTTTATAAGTTTGCAGTTCAATAATAGTTTTTGTGCTCTCAAGTTTTTCAAAAAATATTTTTTTCTCAGGAGTTTTTAAATATAAAGCGAGAAGAGCCACCTGTCAAAAAGAAGCGGACAAGCTCTAGGGAGTCAACTTCCAGAGAATCCTCTCCTAAATTAAATATTTTAGATTCAGATCTTTCTAGCAAAATAAAATTAAAAATAAAAGTAAGTTTTTGATTTGTTTTTATATTAAATTAATTTAATTTTTTTTATATTAAGTTTTTATACTTGATAAAATTTGTTTATAAGCATTACTTCTTTTTTTTGTTATCATTATTATTTTTTTATAGTATTTTGAATCATGAAATGAATTATGGGTAAAATTCTTGTTAATGATGCTATAGTATTGCACTAAAAGCCTCAAGTAAAAAAATAAAATAAAATAATAAAATAATATTTACAATGAATTATTAAATTTTATTGTATTAAAGTATTGAAAAGCTTTTTCATTTAAATTAGAGTAAGTGACTTTTTAAATGGATCATTGTTTGTGGTATTCATTGTTTGTGGTATTCATTGTTTGTGGTATTCATTGTTTGCGGTATTCATTGTTTGTGGTATTTAGTGTGGCACACAGAGACTTTGTGATGCTTAAGGATAGATCATTAAAAATCTTTTGGTGCATTCACACAAAACATACACACACACAAAAATGTTCTGGATTTGTTATCCCAAAATAGCTTTTCTACCAGTAAAGTTGGAACAAAGTTAGAACTGACAACAATGTAATTGACTTTGTAATTGACAATGTAATTGACTTTGTCAAATCTGTTTCAATAGAAAGGATGAAAAACGTTTCAAGTCAATTTTCTCTTTCATTGAAAAACTTGAACAGTTCAAATATCAGAGCTTACTAAAGGAACTCTTGTCTTCAGACACAAGTAATGGCAAGTGAATAAAGTTAAGAAGACAGGTATAAAGGTGAACAAAACTAACCTGCAAATCTCTTTGAATAAATGCTATTTATCAGACACAAGGGTGCAAATTCGGCACCACCTACTTGCCAATAGGTGTTGCTGAACAGAAAAAAAGTGGCAGAGCTCATCAAGAAACTCATCTAATTTCCTTAAGATTGTTTGAATAAATTACCATTTCTTTAAATATAATTTTTTTTTTGTAAATATAGAGTAATTGTAATTTACATTAAAAATTTAATAATATTTACAATAGATGCCATAGTTTCACTTTTATAAAAATAAGTAATTATCATGAAATTTCAAAAATGTTAGCATATGTTTTATATATTTACCTTATATATAGGTGACCATCCTATATATAGATGACCATCATAAATTTGCAAAGTATTATCTAGTAGGTATTAAGAAATTTATAATTTGTAAAAAAGTTTTAGTTGAAATTTTTTTTTAATAACATAACAAGTTAAAGGAGTTCTGATTTACATAAAGGAAAACATTTTACATAAGGAATAAATGGATTTTTGAATCAAAAACTCAATTATTTTTTCTAACATTATTTTAAATGTTTTTAGAAATCCTGATAGTGATAAAGATATCGTAACTATTGAAATTTTTTAACAATGATGTTTGCTTGTCTTTAGACTTATGTCATTTGTCTCTTTGCTGATAAAGGTGCTTCCTATGTACTCCTGGATCCAGGTGCTTTCTATGTGCTCCTGGATCCAGGTGCTTCCTACGTACTCCTGGATCCAGGTGCTTTTGTACTCCTGGATCCAGGCATTATAGATGCTTTTATTCCTTCTCATAAGATTTAAGTCAAGCCCTACTCTATGGTTTTTAAGCTTCTTTTGCAGCTGTTATATCTAATCGTCATTTTTTTAAATATTTTTTACAAGAACAACTCTTGCAAACAAACATGTTGTTAAAAACATGTTGTTAATTTTATTTTAGTTTGGATACTGTTGAGACATGGTTTTAATTTTGTAATTCTCATGAAAATTTACTTTATTGATCATTAGCTAACAGTTGAGGAAAGACCGTTAGCAGAAAAACACCCCCAGTCCATTAGCCAACAGTTGAGGAAAGACCGTTAGCAGAAAAACACCCCCAGACCATTACATTGCCTCCACCATGCTTCACGGTCTTATGGCAGTAACGTAAATCGAGGCGTTTTCCGGCCGGTCGACGTACACGGCAAATGCCATCGCTCCCAATGATGTTGAACTTCGATTCATCAGTTTTTACATCTATCACTTTTAATGATTACAATACTTAAAAAAAATTATGGGAGTTATTTAGGATCTATAGAATGGGAATCAGTATAAAGCGCATTGAAATTTGAAAAAAAGTTTTTTGGGACACCCTAGCCTAGATATAAGTCAATCAAATATACGCAGAAAGATTCGTTCAAAAGGACATTATTAGCGAATTTTTTATGAAGAGAGAAGAGAGGTGGTTGTCGAAAAAGTCGTATTCTTCGAAATTGTCTTTTTTATAAGCATGAGAATATTTTTCTAATATAAATGTTAAAAAAACTCAAATTATAACCTTTTTTCTGATTTTATTTCTTTTGGAAAACTGCCTATATAAGTATCAACTAATCAGTAGAGCTTTTATTTTTCCCTATACAAGACTTAGAGAGATCCCACCAAAAAACCTCGACCGTATTCCATAGCAGAACAACTGATAAATCCTAGTGTATTTGGCTGGGTTGTTTAATAATATTTTTATTTATATATTTTTTTTAATATTCAAAACCTTTTCTTTGTTTTTTAATAGTACAGATCTTTTACGTCGCTAAGCAATTAAGTTCTGTATTTTATGCTTTAAAAATAATCTCTATTTCCGTTTATTTAGTTTGGTGGTGATGATGTAAGTCATGTCAGTGGTCATGACTACCCTGGGAACATTGCAACTAAGCAAAAGAATGCTGATGAAAATCTTATTACAAAGAAGCAGAAAAAAAAAAAGAAAAAAAAGCATAAGGAAAAACACAAAATGCCATTAGATATACCTGGAACGTATTCAAATATGTTAGACGATCGTTTAGCTGCAGACGATAGTCCGCTTGGAACATTAAACATGCCAATATCATCAGGTTATATTAGTGGATCTCCTGAACTTTCTTGAAAGTTGTTGCCTGATTAGTATTGTGTGTGCAACTTGTAGGAACAAGCAATAGTTCCAATTATATATCTTTTTGTTTTGGTAGACGATGCTTGCTTACATACTTTTGCATTAAAGTTATTTATGCTTAAAACAGCTCTAAAAATGAACTATAAATATAATTCAAAAAAAACTAGACTGTTAAATGAGAATGTAAAATCGAATTTATTGAAATATGTGAAATACAGTAGATATACTGTAGAAAGAAAATATTTTCTTTTTGTTGTTGTTGTTGCATACTTTAGTGCGCATATACATGTATGTTTATATATATATATATATATATATATATATATATATATATATATATATATATATATATATATATATATATATATATATATATATATATATATATATATATATATATATATTATATATTATATATTATATATATATATATATATATATATATATATATATATATATATATATATATATATTATATATATATATTTATATATGCATATATATATGCATATATATAAATATATAGTTGTATATAGACAGTTTTTTCTCAAAAATTTTAGTTTAAAAAAATTTTTTTTTTGGACCCAGGTTGGCAAACTTTAAAATAATTCACCATCATTTTTTGTAATGAGCTTTTTTTTAAATATTGTGCTAAGAGTAGGGTGAGGCAAATCTGAAAGTTTTTCTATAAAAAGCTGTTTCTAAGGCGAAATATGCGAAATTCAACTCTGGAAGAATTTTAAACATGCGTATGACAAGCAGAGCCTACGACATTAGAACAAATGATGTGCCTTACTAACGGAAATTGGAAGAGTTGTTCGGCGTTAAAATGACAGTTGTAGACGAGGCATTCCATTATAATAATTGCTACGGGTCTTACTCGGCAATTTATATATCGACAGTTTCATGGAAATGGAAGAGAAACAAAGAAAATACAGCAGTTAAATGAGAAAAAGCGAAATGCTATGGAGGAATTCATTAAGCAGAAAAAAGCTTGCAAAAGTCTTCAGGTATAGATGCCGGAAAAAAAAAATTTTAATGTTGCGCATAATTAATACTGGGCATCAATGATGTTATCGATAAGATCTTTGCGACATCGAGCAGAGAATAGGAGTTCAGAAACTGCTGGGCATATCAGCTGGACAGAAAGCGTTCACGTCTCCGTTAACTGACTCACTCATGGACAATACGCCATAACCAAGTTACTCTCGCCAAATCATCCTAATCACTTTGTATCCTTATACACATAATACAAAAACTTGATGTCTCTTCAAGATATTGAGCGAAGCGGTTCAGAGATTTTATTTCTAATAGTTTTAAACGCATTGCTGAAATAGTGAAAGAGTTTGTAACTAGGAGACAATCAATCCAATATTTTTTTGAAGCAACTGTGTAAAAAAAACTCGAACAAACTGGTAACAGTCGTATCAGTTTATATACAAAACGATTAGTTCACTCTCTGTTCAGAAGTGTATGACGAAGTAGGCGAGATTGCTATTTTTCCTAAAATGGAATTATTTGGATTTGACAAGAGAAGCACAGACTAACCGAGAATAACTAAATATCATTCAGGCTAGAGCGGTGTGCGGGAGTTTTTCAATGAAAAAATCACAACTGAAAGAAGTTAGAAGCAATGCTAACTTAAACTGTGGCAGAGAAATGCTTCTTGCTGCTATCTTGGCTGAAATTATAAACACATTGGTTCGACAGTTAAAAAAGACTTTTTCTCTTCAGTCATCAATCCAGACTCTAATGACGTACGAAAAGACTCTAATCTTGAAAATGAGAGAACAGACGGCATTGAGCATGCGCCACTGAAAAATCTTTGATGTAAGTCGAAGTTCGCAAAGCTAGATACTCGCATAAAAATATGTGGTGGAACTACATCAATATAGATTATTTCTAGAAAAAATGTTTTGACAACCAATGCCTACTTGCTGAATTCAGCTTTTTTTAGAATAAACTGAAAGCGAGAAGAAGAAACGTTAGAAATGGGCAACTAAGCTAGAAGCTGATTTCTTAGTTACAGTGAAACAAGCTTGCGGTGATTAAACGAACAAGCTCGTCAGCGGTAATTAAACGTCAAAAAAGAAAGGTAAAAAAACATGGAAAAACTTTCGAATTTATTGACAAGTGCAGAGAACACAACGGTCCCATAACTCCAAAAACTGTCAATATTTTGGACTCGCTCAACAAGAAAAAACTGATCAATAAAATTTCGTACCTATGTCTGACGATAGCGCCTGAAATCAAACTGCGACGACGAATAAAACTTCATTCTGGAAATTTCAAAATGGTGGGTTTTACAATTAACGAACTAAGATGTTCCATTTGTAACGCAATAAAACCAGAAAAGGTACTCTCGAACAACATTGATACACTACTCAGTTTAGTCCTGTGAAAAGTGATGACATGTGAGTGTTCATATGATTGATTATTTTGATTCTTAAAGTGGTCCGAGTTTATAATTTTAAAACAGCAGAATTCTTAGTTCATTCAGTTGTTATTATATTATTTGACAGGTTATACTTTTTTATAACAGCTGCACAAGTTTGAAGATGCTTTTACAGATTGAATGCTGTGCCGTCTTAACGCATAGTCAAGGTAGGCTACAGCTTAGGGCCCCTGATTTTTAGAGGTCCCCAAAATATGTCTTGATATGGCTTTTTGTGTAACTTTGACAGTTTTTATTTTTTATTTATAGGTTTTTAATAATGAAGTTCTTTTTGTTTTCTTTAATACCTTTTTTAAAAATATTTTGATAAAAAAAATACTGAAGTTCTTGCTCACGCCGTCAAATGGTCGATAACAACCCTTAATAAAATGTTTTTTGATTATTTGTTTATTATTTCAGTAGTCAAAATTTTTTATCGCCATCAGAAGCACTCAAATTATTCCTACTCTCGAGTGCCGAATATAACGGGGGTGGAAATAAACAGGTGGGTGGGAATTTTAGTCAAATTCTAACAAACGGAGGGGGAGTGAGTTTAATAAACAGGAGGGGAGGGGTTTTTTCTGAAATTTAATCAACGGGGGGGAGGAGGGCATTAAACATGCTACCCCCCTCCCCGTTTATTCGGCATGCAAATTATGCATGTTCAAGTCTAATGCGCATTTGACTTGCGGTCAAAAGCGCATTTTCTAACAGCTGTTAGGGGAGGGTTAGGCTGTTTTATCATAATTTTAATAAGATTTAATATGTTGATGTAAGTTTTATACTTTGCAAAGTATAAAACTTATATTCAGCATATTAAATCGTATAATTAAAACCAAAGATTTGTTGAGAAATAAACTAAAAGTTCATTTTTAGCAAATCGAGATTTAATAGGTCGACAATTTGTAAAACCTGTTTACACTGAAAGTTTTTGTTTTTATCGGTGACTGAAAATTATTTTAAAATTTTAAAGGCCGATTTTCGCTTAATTATTTTTTTTTACTTTTGAGATATATAATTTTTTTGTTGATAACAAGTAAAAATTAATAAACGAGGGGGGGGGGGGGGGTCTTAATAAGCTTAGGATGGGTGGTGAAAATATCCTAAAATTAATAAACAAGGGGGGGGGGGGGGGGAGACGTTTATTAGGAACTCGAGAGTAATGTAATATACAATATTTTCATTCACGTATTTATTAGAACTCCTCCGCTGGATTTGAGTGCCATTTATGTGCCAAATCCGGTTTTCAGTTACTCCACCTGGTACAAGCACTAAATTATAAAATCAATTTGACTTTACTGTGATCAAGTATTATATCTGAAAGGAAAGCCCTTATAATGTCTAACCGTAGTTGTCAAAGTGGTACTTCAAAGAGGAAAGCAGTCTCTAAAAAAATAGAAGACTTTGAGTCTAAGTTTCTTTTTTTAAGTCATTTCTTTGGTACAAAATTCAAAGCATGTAGTGTCGGCTTACATTTTTCTTTGTGCATCTTTAAATTTCAAAATGTATATCAGGACATCAAAATGGCTCTGAACATCACAAAAATATGCTCACATACTCCAGTCGGCAAAATAAAGTGATCAGCTAAACTCTGTTTTATTAAAACAGTTTTAAAATGCAAAATTGTATTCGCAGAATGTGCTGAAAAGAATTGTTGCAGTTGTGAAGTTTTTGTCATCAAGAGAATTACTATGGAAACAATGAAATCATTAGATCAGAGCAAAATGGAAATTTTTTAGGAACTCTGGAGTTACAGTTTGATCTTTTCCTAGATGAACATATCAAAAAAAAAAACAATTTTGATAATACTAAAGGTAATACTTCATACTACTTAGCCAATATCTGTGAAAAGTTCATATGCCTAATGGGAAATAAAGTGTTGTTTGAAATAATTTCAGAATTAAAAAAAGCAAAATAATACCCTATCAGTGTTGACTCAACTCCAGACTTGTCTCATGTCGATTAGTTAACATTTACAGTTCGATATGTTGAAGATAGCATTGATCGGGCGGTTTTTACAAATTGTCCTTATTCAACAGCATGAAGCGTAACATTTAGAAAAAATTATTTTGAACTTTTTACAAGAAAAAACATTACAATATCTGATTGTCGTGGGCAGTCATATGATAACGCATCAAACATTAAAGGACAGTAGGCAGGACTGCATAGAAGAATAAATAAAAAAAAATGAATCACACACTTTTTATTTTCATTCTTCAAACCTGGTTAGCAACAATGCTGCTGAATGTTGCCTACAAGTAATTTTTTTTTGTTTTTTTTCAATATTTCTACTACTTTTTCTCTGCATTTTCGTTGGGATTCATTGTTGGGAAGTGCTTCATTTGCACGATTTTTTGTTGGGAGTTCATCGTTGGGAAGTGCTTCATTGGCACATTTTTTCGTTGGGATTCATTGTTGGGAAGTGCTTAGTTAGCACAATATTGTTGGGATTCATTGTTTCGAACTCATTATTGGGATTCGTTGTTGGGATTCATCGTTGGGAAGTGCTTCGTTGGTAAAATAAGTCTTTTGTTGGCAGTGGAAAAAAAATTATCAAACAGCTGTCTGGAACTCGGTGGTCACCACGATCGAAATTTTAAAAATGGCACGAAAGCAACATTTCACTTTCGAATCTCAATAATTTGCATCCAAATATTTTTATATTATCGAAATCATAAAAATGATATTGAAACAATTTTTTACTTAAGGTCGGCGCGAAGTGTGTGCGGAAAGATGGGAGGGGGTGCATTAATCTTTTGTTCATATAGTCGACAAATTTTACCCATTGAGACAAGTCAGTCGGCAA